TGTTGTGCTGGCCACAGTCCTTCGCGAGGTGCGTACGGGAGCCACACTTGAAGCATGTGGGAACTTGACCCCTGTGCCAAACGCGAAGTTTTTGACCGGAGCCAGGCAGCACGATTTTAGACGGTACGGTGGACTTGGGTACAACATTACAGTGCCAGTCGTGAACGTACAGCCATCCACAGACTTTTCTTCCCGCTTTGGGAGACCAACGGTGGTTCCAAACTTCTCCATCGCCGATGTAATGGCCGACAGCGGAGTATTATCCGCCACGCCAAAGATATGCACAGAGACTATAGCTCCATCACCAACTAACAGTACTAATTGAGCTCCGTCGACAGTGAGCCCTCTGGATAACACCTCGTCTCTGACAGATGTGGAGGAGAACGAAACTCTACAAACTCCTCGCCTTCCGCTCAGGTCAATTTGTTTTATTTCATCTGGTTTGACACCAGAGGAAAGCAACAGTCTAATAAAAGGCATGGTCCTTCGAGGGAAGGTTGCCACTCAGCTGTATGGAACATACTCGAGACATTTCTAACAGGTATACATACACACAGGATTGAATGATTCCGGAGCGCCAAAAACTGCATCCACTCGCCAGCTCTACACTTCTTGTGCATTGGTGTTACTGTAGAGAAGGGCAGTTGGGGTTATTCTATCCAAGGAAAAATTCTCTTTCTCCCTTCCTCTCTCTCTACCTTACTTTTTTTCCATATATTTATCCGTGCTTACCTTTGGCTATGATAAGTCCGGTGAGTTAGTGTAGTACCTCCAATTTTTATTTTTATTTTCAATTTGGAGTGGAATAAAGAATCATAATAATAATATTTTTTTCTTCAGACTTTTCCCGTTTGTCTCTTTCCCTCAAACTAGTGAAAATAATAATAATAATAATAATAATAATATTAATGGTTTAGGAAATTAGAGGCCACATGCCACGTACTGCTCTTTTCTCTCCGAAACTCAACATTTGCAAGCCAGATATGAAAGAAAGAAAAAGCATCAGTCACACCACCGTGAAGTCCAAATTTGAAATTGCAAATATTAATGGTGTAGAGAAAATAAGGATTCAAACAAGTTTTCGTACAACACTCATCAGGAATCTTCGTTGTACTAAAGGACACTGAAAACAAAATTGAACTATTTAAATCTAACTTAGAGAAATAACACTAAGAACAACCAGCAGTGAAATTTACAAGTGTGATTTTTAACAATGAAAGCTTTGCTTTTTGTTTTGCAGTTTCCTTTCTTTTCTTCCTCTGTGCTCACGTTGATGCCATTTTGTTGTGAGTCCGCATGCTTTGACTTGAACTCGCAAGGTTGATCATTATCCCTTGCACCTTTTACTGGTTTAGGACTTGTGCCCAGTCCTGAGGTTATTGCTCATTGTTTGTGTTTTTGTTTTTATTGTTTTGCATTTACATTTACATGTATTTAGAACACATGCTCAATTCATGTGCAAGGTTGATTGCTATCCCTTGCACGTATCAGGGCCTGTGCCCTTTCCTGTTTTATTTCATCTCATAATAGTACATAATAAACCAGTAATCAATGAAAGCGAGAGCAATAACGAATGCGTGTACTAACAATAAACGTGCACCTGAAAAATGAACAAAGAAGAGAAAGAAAGAAGGAAGGACAAAGTGATAACAAATAACAGCAGTACATTACACCTAGAACATTAACGGCCAAGCTTGGCCACCATCAGTTCGCGCCTGGTACCTAGTCGATGCATGGTTGGCATGTTATTTCTCTAACTTAGATTTTCTATGTATTTTCTCTCCGAAACTCAACACTTGCAAGCCAGATATGAAAGAAAGAAAAATCATCAGTCACAACACCAGGACTCGAACCAGGGACCTTGCTATTCGTGAGCAATGCTCTAACCAACTGAGCTACAGCATGACTCTTATCCACAGTGATGGTAAATCTATCCTTCTTCGACGGCGCCGGTGGTATGACTGATGATTTATTCTTTCTTTCTTATCTGGCTTGCAAGTGTTGAGTTTCGGAGAGAAAAGAGCAGTACGTGGCATGTGGCCTCTGATTTCCTAATACATAGAAAATCTAAGTTATGTGGCCTCTGACTCCCTAATTTGAAATTGCAATTTTGTATTTGCTCGCAGTGAAATAGTTTGTAGCCCTCCCCATGATATCAAGCAAATGGCCGAGGGTAGGCCTTGACAGATTATGCTAATATTTTCGTGAAATTATGCTTTTCACATTGCTGAAAAAATTGCAGAATTACGCTATTTTTATGCTAAAAGTTATCATATTATGCCGCATTATGCTCACATATGCTGCTAATGTATAATGGTTCTGTGCAAAATAACAGGGGAATTTTTTTAGAGGGCGTTGTACTGTAGTAGCAAAAGTTCAACGGGGTCCAACGCACCGTTCGACCTAGCTACGACCGTCACTGATTGTAGTGGACTGGACATGTTCTCAAGGGAGTCGTAAACCTACGACTTCCTGGTGCATCTGTCTTGTACTTGTAGAACATGTACACCTGTATGGAATTTGATGCGAACAGGCGGATTATTCCAATTCTATGCAATTCGTATGCAATTTGCCTCGAATTATGCGATTATACGATTTTGGTAGGAATTATGCGAAAAATTATGCTAGCATAATCTGTCAAGGCCTAGCCGAGGCTCGAGGCTCGAGGGCCCTCTTGATTGGTGTGAGTTGCCAGTAGGATGAAAGCCAGATATGGATTGATCAAAGAAGGATATATTTACCATCACTGCGGATAAGAGTCATACTGTAGCTCAGTTGGTTACAGCATTGCCTGTGAATAGCAAGGTCCCTGGATCGAGTCCGGGTGGTGTGACTGATGATTTTTCTTTCTTTCATATCTGGCTTGCAAGTGTTGAGTTTCGGAGAGAAAAGAGCATTACGTGGCATGTGGCCTCTGATTTCCTAATACTTTGAAATTCTCCGTGAAGTCCAAATTTGAAATTAGATTTCTATAATAGCTCAATTTTGTTTCAGTGTCCTTTAGTACAACGACGATTCCTGATGAGTGTTGTACGAAACTTGTTTGAATCCTTATTTTCTCTACACTATTTCTTCATCGTCAGGCGAAATTACCGGTCAGTCGTCGACAATGTTGGTTTGCGTTGCGCAAACCGTAGTTAACCAGCACGCCACGGGCCGCGCCCCCGCAGGGGAATATTCCCGCAAGATGACTTTAGGTGACCTTACGCACTCCGCCGTGCCGCCGCAGCCGACTTGCGCAAGCACGCACTCTTGCAGAGTTCCGCATTCGGGTCGCACTCGCGTACGACATCCCGTATGAGCCACCCTTCGCCTGGCGGATGCATCCGTAGACGGCTCATCTACTGCTGGCTGGTGTAATTTTGCCAGTTGTCTGTTTTGCTGTGAGTGCTCGCCACGCAATTTTGTTTACCACCCGCCCACACCTACCGGACGGAGGGGAGGCACGGGCTCAGCCGATGGGCACGAAATCCGCATGGTGCACATCCATCGGCTGCCGCAGACAATACAATTTAATATACTTGTGGGTACTACCAAGTACTTAGTGGTCATGCAGTTGCCATAGCAATGTACTGGTACACCCAGCCTTTATGATTGTTACATGACCCCATGGGTCTTCTTTCAAACGCTCTTTCATAGCCGATAGATGGCGTTATTTGTTCCTATCATACTATGTTACAGATGGGCGGCCTTAGACGGCCCAGTCCGATCATTTCACGCGAACTATGTTATACGTCATCATGATCACAATAATCATGTCGTGCTCACGTTCAATATAAGCTTGCGACATCGACATGACACCCCACTGGCTCATCTCTTCTGTGGTGTGAATTTTCACAAAAATTTGCGTTTCACCTGCTGGGAGAGTATGCGTGTACTCGAGTCTCATCCTGAGCACGTTTTTTCTTCTTTTTTTCAGCTCCAGCATAGCTGTATTTTTCATTGCAAAGCCGTCCTCGATTGGTGTGTTCGTTGTTCAAACGAAGTGGACATTCAATCATGAAGGCAGAGGACATAGGAGCCTGATTGGAGTTTCTCGTGGCATAGGACGGCCACACAGAGACACTTTGGGATTTTCTGAATATAAAATACCGTACGGACGATGCTGAGATCAATTTGTGCGATATCAAATTGTTTGTGATCTACCACATCGAGCAGAACGGGATCCAAACACAAGCTTACCGACGGTTAGGCTGCCGACCTGACTGGACAAATGATCTCTGGCTTCACCAGACGCCAGAAGTCGGACACCATGTCCTTTGCCGCGACGTCCATCTCCAAAAAGAACTCCATCTTCGTCCGCGTAAAAAGGCTTGAAATACTCGATATTCAACCGAGATTCGCGGTCTCACCCTTTCTCAGATCGAATCATTTTTTGTTGTAGCAGTTGCAGGGCAGATCCTCGCCACTACTTCAACAGAAGATGGCTCCAAAGCATGCCTGGAACAAGCCATATCGAGGTTGCAAGCCACCCCTCTCAGCATGAAATTCGAAATTTCAATGGTGGAAGATATCTGAAGAGAATTTCAAAAAGTATGTTTCGCGGAGCGATCGCTCAACCTACGTCATTCAAACTTTGCAGGATGGTTCAGAACTTCAGACCAGGGAGTAGTACAATAGGGCTTGAAAGTGATGACGGTAAAAACGGCCAGGGAGTACTAAGTTGACATCAGATTTCTGTTTTGGATCC